ACTCAGAATTTGAATTAGATAAGAATAATTGAGATGCTACTGCTTCCAATCTCGCATTATCACGGGAAAATCGCTACGGTGGGGCTGTCGTTCACGAAGTACTCAAGGACGAATACGAAAGTGTTCGATTCGATTACACGATCCTCCTCTTTCTCGAGCTGATTTCTTTCTCCCCCGCCGCCCTATCACCACGTTCAAATCATCCCCCCTACCCCCGATTTCCTTGCACGTATCATAGTGACAATTTCTTTCACCGTCCACGTCTCCCCCAATCCACCAGAACCCGTATTTCTCGCCGCGATACCCAGCACGGCCGTCATACTGATCCTGCTCCTCTATGCTGAGAACGTCGCAATAGCGCTATCCAAAGCCTCCGCAAGTTGACCAGTGCTCTGTTGCGCAATCGGGCGGGCGATGGCAGGGACCTTGCCGAGTAGGGTGTCACCGAGCGCACCACTGCCAGTCTTTTGTTGCATAAGAGCATCCTTAACGACGGAACTGACACCAAGCTGATCGAACACGGGTTTCTTCTGCGAGAGGTCGCCGAGGGTAGTCTGGACCTGCGTGACGAGGTCGCCGGCAGTCTGCTGGAGGCCAAGTGCGCCAAAGAGACCAACGCTGTCGGCACCGTCGATCATGGATGTGGCCTTTGTGAGAGCATCTTGAGAACCTTGAGCCGCGGTGAGAACAGGAGCCACAGAGTTGGCGTCGTTGGCGGAGATTCCCTTGACGGCGGTGTCGAGCTTCTGGAGAGAGGTCTGGACCATGCCGAGAGCGGTAGTGATGGTATCCTTTTGGCGAGCGACGAGGAGAGGAGCAGCGGTGATCGCCCACGCCTGGAGGGCGACGAGAAGAACCTGGAAGCCGAGCATTTTCGAAGAAGTGAAGATATTAAGATAGTACGAGAGAGGACGTTTGATGGAATACAGGATTCGGAGATCGTTGGTAGGTAGAGATGAGCTTGAATAGTGGAGAGAACGACAACGACTTCCAAACCAAAATCGGAAATGGTGTGCGGCTCTTAGTTCGATTTTATCAATATCTGGGGTAGACTACCCAAGGCCTATTCAGCGCTTGTTTTCTCCCATCACTTTCCATTTCGGGACACACTGGGGGGCGGTGAAGCTTTCCTGTGTTGAATGTGTGTGGTCTACAACTACTTTTCTCCTTCAGCCTTCCTCTTTGGGTTATGAGACGCAAAGGAGGTTCTTGGTGGTTCACCCTGACCGCATGGGGGTCCTAAAATGGTACTTGCTTGGGACGGCTTGACACGCTTGCGTCCATGTAGCGGTAGCCACAAACCGGCTCCGGGCGCCCACCAACCGCCACTGTCTAGGAGGGAGGGAAGCGTTATAACTCATCCGAGTTGTGGATTGCTACTGATGCGTGGGATGACATGTCGATCTCGAAGGATCAACCCTGGCATCAGGGGGGGAGGGGAGGTTGAGTGGGCTCGTTGAGCCGCCGTTGGCCCTACATCTGGCTTCCAGGGAACTATCGCGATAAGCTCATGAACGGGGTGCTTAGTGAACTGCGGGGGGAGCCAATGAACTCAAGCCTCTCGGAACTTTCCTCGCTTTTACCCCCATGGGTACTGTCTGCTCCTCCAAGGGGAAGCACAGGCACAACGATGATCAGCCCAGGCAAGCCGTTGGACTTTGGAGCCAGTATGGTTTTACTATTGAAGCTGAAACGCTTTGTTGCGCGGACCGGCCGTTGTTCAGTCGAAACACCCAACAGAGTTGTGTTAGTGATGCGCCAATCGCAATTCACCAAAGCGCACAATTAGCCAGTCACTGAGTAGTCATGTCAACTAAACGCCAGCAAGCTGCCAAACTGCCAGAAAAAACCTGACCGGATGGTCCCTCGGCAAGCCTCCACGATGATGACGCTCGTGATTGTCGGCTGCGCCTGTCAAGAAATGGGAAATGGGTGTAGTGTCCTGCCAAGCTGCCGGTTGCCGGTTTGGAACTCTCAGCCCTGCCCATTCGCACTCGCTTAATTACCTTGACAAGCTGGCAGACCAGAAACAGGTGGTCTTGACTGGGTGACTGGGCCGACTCACCTGATATATGTTCAAACGGTCTGCTGGCCTCAGAAGTGGGCTTTCAACGGCTCTGCTCCGGACATCCCATGTATTACCTCATTAGGGTAGGCTCTGTATATACGCTTGGATCGGGCAGCCTTCCCGTCCCATTAAGCAAGGGAGGCCGGCATTTGTTCTACACCCTACGAAGAGCCATATGCGGCATAGGAGATCAACCGGCACGGGTATCGAAAAAGCTTAATGTCGGCGAACGGTTTGTAGATCAGGAGGCCTTGCAGCCGGTAGGGCCTTACGCTCGCCTAGACGGGTACTCTCATGCTAGAATGTGTGAGGAAGCCTGCAGAGACAGCGCCCCTCATGCAGGCTTTGTGAAGTCTGGCTTCTCCCCAGCCGTCGCAGCTATGCACGCAATGCGGAAATATCGATGGTGTTTCCCCTTCGGATATTCGTCTTCCACAATCTTGGCCATATTAGGCGGCCTTCCCCACACAATTTAGATGACTTGTAGGGCTACACGAACGGCTCGGATCCGGATGGCTTGCAAGGTCTGCATATGAAAAGTCCAGAACAGCTGATATGCTTGGATATGGTACTCTGCAGTTGACTTTCCATACTTCCCTTGATATAATCGTGGTTAATTTTGTTGTGCCCTTGCTGTACCTATGGGAAATCGACCCCTTGGCCAAGTGCTCTGACCGCTGGCCAAGCAGTGACATATCGAAAGGGTCTAGTTTCGACTTGTTCGAGGGAGCATCTGCCGAAGCCCAGAAGAATACCCGTTTATCTACAGCGCCGATGTGTCTAGGACATCATCGTCTGCTCTAAGTCAAGGTGTGCCAATAAGTGAATAGCAATCAATTGACTAGAAACCATGTTGGCTTTGGGATTTATCGCCCAATAAACCTACTTGTCACCAGCAATTTCCCATCGGCAGGCTGTCACTAATCCTCTCCCGCCGGGAGAGCCGTCGGGTCATTCTTACGAAGAACTTCATATTCCTTGGAAAAGCTGCAAATCGGCCCGATGAGCAGTAGTGGGCTCACATCATGAGAGTGATTGCACCCAGTCTCATCTTCTCTGTTTTGACGCGAGAGCCGTGGCCAAATGAGGAAATTGTATCCAAGCTGCCCATCGCCCAAACTGTAACACACCAGACAGTTCAACGCCGCCGCCCAGACTTCTAACCTTCCCCCCTTCCGGTGACGCGAGATTTTTGACGTTATCTGCCCAGCGAGTCGTGTCAACTGAACCAAAAACCCTGGACTGGAGCTTTCCGCGCTTGACCTTTCCGATGTTGTACCCGTTCTGACAGGTCGGCGCCAAACGGCTCTCGGACGTTCCGAAAACCAAATTTGGCCTTGCCCCATGTTCTTGGGTGCCTTCCTTTTTCCTAGAAGGTCACTTCCCCTCAATCTTTAGTCCTCCTTCTCTTGAGAAAATCCGAACCACGACGGCGGGTCAGAGGGAACCGAAATCGAACTGATTGCATCCATCCTCAGACAAGATAGGCGAGTCAACTCATGAAAGCAGCTATGGGGGTTGAATCATCGCATTCGCACAACACCTGAGCCGCGACATCTGGACCCGAAACACGGTCTCTGATAGGTGTTCTGCCGCCATAGAGAAGCACGGAACTTGTCCCAGGAGACACTTTCCACACTACCTGACACAGCATCCGAGTCGCGCTGTCTGGCGTGTGGAGGTTGATGAGCGGGTGAACCAAAGAACCAATCAAATCAGCTCTGTCGGGACTAGGAACTGCCATCCGGGAACTGGGCAGAAATATTCTCGACCCCGGTTCTGGGTCTTCAGACACAAAGGCTTACAAGTAAAGAAGTGGACTGGATGACGGGAGTTTCTACCCGGAAGTTCAATGGATACGTTGTTCTGCAACAAGGGGCAACTTTGTCAACTAGTTCCAACTCTGGGCCGTGCATGGATAAGGTGAAAGAAGCAGTTCATAACACAACATGACAGGAAACGGCGTACCAAGCGTAGTCTCCAAAGAGTGCAGTGGTTTGGGCTGGATGTCCATCTCTGAGGTCCCATACTACCTTGGTGCAGCCAAGCTATAGGTCTCAACTTTTGTCAGAGCTAGATATCATGGACAACGCAACCTACAGATTAGGGATTGTTATTTACACGCCTTTCGTCACCAACATCAGATCGGGCTCACTGGACCAACCGCTAGCTTTACTACTCCTTGATTGTCACTCTCACTCATCCAGCGGGTCAGCCCTGCACAACTTCAGTCCCTTCTGGGGAGAAGCCTTGGACTGGGCGAATTACTTTAATTTAGAGCGACATTCTCAAGGGAGCGCGATTGATACGAAGGCTTGACGATGAACACCACCGCGGCAGTCGCGATTAGTCGAAGCCTATGTTGCGAGCCTAGGAAATACAGCCAACCTAAATGAGGGGATTGCCAAGTGACTTAAGCCCCGACAACACGCATCAGCATGTGAGCTCACTAGTTGAATCTTGTCCACGTTAGTGCTCCAATTTGGTTTGTAAGGGACTTCAAGACTTTGAGTTTTCGAAATAGTCTTCCCGCGCGTTCAATTCTACACAGGCACACAGGCTTTTCCTCTTGGTACGTCGACCAATAAACTTTTAACGCCCTCTTTCACCCCAGAACTTTGTCCCGACTCCCCACAGACAGAACTCTCTAAAAGTTTCCCAAACCCTCAATCCACTCTCCCTTCACAACATCCGACTGCCTTGTTTCTCAATCGTTCGTAAAGTGCCTTTGTTTACTACTACTCACAATCATCGTAAACTTCTCTCCCCACAACCGGCCGCCTTCTTATCAGCGCCTTTGCCGACAGTAACCGGCATACAAGTCTTCCCGCACACTTGCATGTCCTCTCCACTAACAGTTCCACAGAGACCCATTCTGACTATCCCAATCCATCCATATTCCCTCACCCGGCCCAAACTTGCATCAATCACCGGGCGCTTGGTCTAGGGGTATGATTTTCGCTTCGCATCTACATCTGGGCTTCATCGTGAGCTTCAGTTGCGCAATCTGTGAAAGGTCGTGGGTTCAATTCCCACAGTGTCCAATTGTTTTGCCAGATTCGATCGTGAGACATCGTTATTGATGCTGGATTGAAGTTGAGTCAATTTTGTGCCCATGTGAGTCTAAGCCGGGCAAAATTCGGACTGCCATGACCGTGTGCATTCAAAACAAGAATTGAGACACATGTTGCTTACTCGATATCGCCTGATTCCGGGGTGCCATTTTGGCATCTTGAGTTTCTTCAAAGTTTTGTCAGTTGTGGGGCGAGTCTGAGTTGAAGCTCTAGCTGGCATGCATAAGACTACCTAGTCACCTTTACACTCAGTCACAGCTTCAAGTTCCTCAGAAGTCACAGTAAAATTAGGGGGTCAATGGCCGTATTGATGAACTAAGATCTATGGACTCTAGGGTACTGATTCGTTTTTTTGGCATCCTCGTTCAATGAATTGCCTCTGTGGCTTACTGGCTGATGGGTGAGGGCATTCCTGACGTGCTCAGATCATCCATGCACGTGTGGGGAATATAATCTTCAGAACAGGTGCTACGGCGTTGCTTCTTGTCTTTGGTAGGCCTCGAAAGCACCATAGCCTGATAAACAGCGTCAGGCTCAGGATCTGAGAGGCAGTCCACACCAGGAGCATTAGTTCCCACAGCTGGCCGGCTTGCACCAAGTTCCCCGCCAGCCTTTCCCGTAACCTCATCGTCAACTTCGGATGGCGCTGGCGCGCGGGTTGTACGGCTACTACTTGGTGAAGTCTGAAACACAGAACTGATCTTTCGCGTGATCTGCTGCATGAATCCTGGTTCTGGTTTGCGAGTGTCCTGTACCAAAGGCTCTGCGAAATGGGCAGAGCGTCGCCTGCTATTCACGGGTAATTGGCCTGGTGCCTTGGTTTCGCCGCGTGCGCGCGAGTCGACCAGAGCGTCGGAACCTCGGTGAGAGGGCTTCGGTCTAACACTCGCAGGATCATCTAGGGTAGGATCTACCTCGAGAGCTGTACCATGGTCGGAATCTCTATGAGGTAAGTCCTTGTTGATGGGTGCGATACTACCAAGTCTCGCGTCAATTCCCAAATGGTACATGTTGACCTTGTCTTTGTCCTCATGTTGAAGAGTGACAAGGCTAGCCGGGGTGCTGAGCCATTCATCCGTGCAGTGTCGCTGTGGAAGGCTAGGGAATGAAGTGATCGAGGAAGCTTCGTCATCGACGCTGGATTCCTTGACGTTCTCTTTTTGAGGATTCGGTTCGCCTACAAGCTCAGACCCGAGCGAGAAGCCATGGAAATCAGGTGCATCCGATACAGCATCAGAATCAGAAGCCCGACTGAGACCCTCAATGACGCTAGACACATTGAACATGGAAGAGTTGGTCTGGGACACGGCAGACGTCGGCACTTCGGAGGCATCCGAAACTGGCTCTCGCTTTTGCTCAGAATGTTCTGCCAGCGTATCAACGAGCCACCGTATATCAGTGATACTGTCCCGTGAGACAATCGTGGTTATGGGTGCCGGTCGGGCTACACTTCTTGACCGGACTTGACCATCAGTGGCGCTTCGGTTAAAGAACGAGGTCTCGGGCTCGTTGATGGTGGTGGCTGCATCAACTGCACGAGCAGGTTGCAGCTCAATAGCAGTCTTGAGGAAACTCGGCTTCCTGGTCAATTTTGTTTGGACCGTAGTATTAGTTGCTTGTTGGGCTTTGATAGCATCCTCCATGGTTGTATTGTGCTTGCACATTTCTTTGAAGACGATCTCCACAACGTCTTGTACTTGATCATCGGTGAGTACGTACTGGCATGAGGCTTCGTTGCATGGTGTTTCTCCATCGGGATTATTTGGGGAAATATCCGGCGTTCTCCGTTGACCAGCAAGACGCACCCGTACCTTTTCCATGATTTGCTGCATCAAGGTATTGGGCTTTCCCCAAATGCTGTACCCAGACCGTCTTTGGGTGTCGGAGAGATGCTCGGATCGCGATGGGTGTCGGCTATGAAGAACATTGATGGAGCTCTGGCTGCCCGAGATATTGCGTCGGCCTCGTATGTGTGTCACCGTGGTGCCATGTTGAATGTTGGAGGTCAAGGCCGGGCCGGATCTGTGGTTCGTTCTCCATCTTGATGAGCTCTGGGACTCGTCGGCAAGACACTTGTTTCCTACAGTAACGTTGATTAGCAATAAGATGATAATGTGTCTTAGCAAATCATGATTTGACCTAAGATACCTGACAGATTCCCCTTGGTGACTGCCTCTGCAGCGGCGGGTGGCAGACAGCGGTTATGGGCTTGAGCTCTAGTCTGGTCCATGCTCATGCATCTTGATGGCCGCCGGATAACCGGACTGGCTTGAGGAGTCCATGTCATGGTTTCGGCGTCTCCATTGCTGAGCAAACTACAGTCTAGGGTAGTGGGCGGACCCGGGGGCACGATAGATGGACGTCGGCCTAGATTGGGGTCCCTCTGTGTGGTGGTCGGATAGATGACGGTGCCATTGTAGCATGAGGGAACGAAGACACCTGGTAGCTGATTTATAATTGGGGGGCGAATCACAGAAAGGCTGTGTTCTCGAGTCGATGGTGCGGTGCGGAACTCTTCCTCGTCGAATTCTGAAGGTTCATTCATGTTGGGTTCGGTCGAAGGCTAGCTAGCAAGGAAATGGAGCAAAGTTATACGAAAAGAATAGAACGGTACGAAGGAAGGGTCATGAAGAGGAATAGAAAAGTGACTGTCTCGAGAGGGCTAGAAAACAACGCCCCTGGTTGTCATCGACTTGCAGTCAGATGTTGTTTGCTAGGATTGTTGTCGTGGATGAAGCTGTAGAGAGAGGAAGGTAGGTTGAAGGTAGACGCGAAAGGAGGCGAGATTGGCATGGGATACTCAAATCACAGTGCTCAACAAAATGTGAAAGAGCAGAGCATCGCTGCTTCCCCGTTCATAGAGCATGGTTTGACGTCAGGCTGGAAGGAGCTACGCGACTATCACCGTTGGCGGTCGCCGCGTCGAGGCCAGCGCAGGGAGGGCACCTTGGCAGCTCATTCTCAAACGAAATGGATGCCGGTAAGACAGATGCTTTTCAAAATGAGTGATTGCGGTAAGAAGAATTTATGAAATTCGACTAAAACTGATGATATTCAAAAAAGAGTTGATCCCCGGTGTGGTACCATCTCTTGGTGCTCATGCTAGGATCGTTTGCGGACTAGAACTCGTAGCCAGTCGAGTAAGCTGAGACGACAATGATAGACCATTGACCACTCCACTTCCCAGCCAGTCTGTCCTGACCAACGGACCTTAGAAGACACCTGCTATTCCGGTGATCAGAATGTACTTGAAGGCATGTATATACCTACTCAGTGAGTTGTTGATGAGAGTATCACAGATGAGACGAACGGAGGTGAGATGACATAAGCAGGTCGAAGTGGGGTCACGGTGTCAACGCACAGTGTCGGCTGCTGAGCACGGCCCCGAGTGGAAAATATTCTGGACCAATTGAAATCCCTGCGCAACACAAAGCAAAGGGTTTTCGAGGGGATCGGCAAAATCCTCTATACTAGCAGAGGAGCTTACTTTTTTTTTTTTTTTGTCCGTTAAGCTCCCGCTGGCATTCATTCTTTTTTTTTTTTTGACGGGCAACGACGCTCAATCAGCGTCCAAAGTTTGCTCCTTTACGGCTCTCTCTCCCTGCGGTGCGGTAATATCTAATGATGCCCCCGAGTGTTGCTCCGACTGCTTCTGATCCTGCTGGGCCTTCCGACACCAGCAGCGCCTACACGAGGTTGCACATCTCTCCTTTCGACCAGGACCTCTTGAAAGTCGTTATCCCAGCTGCAATCCTGCCAAACGCCCGAAACATCTCCTTCCACACCATCGAAACCTTCCCCGATAAGCGTTACGGCTTCGTCGACGTACCCGAGGCGGACGCTGAGAAGATCAAGAAGAGGCTGAACGGCGCCGTTCTGAAGGGCTCCAAGATGCGCATCGATAAGGCCCGCCCCGCCGAGGACTTCATGCCCGTGGCTGAGAGCGAAGAGACTGGCAAGAAGCGGAAGAAGTCGTCCAAGGAGAAGGAGGAGAGGAAGAGACAGAAGCGCGACGAGAATGTCCTTGAGGGCGTCGAGCTTCGCGATCGAAAGGTCAAGCGGGGTTGGACCGTTCCCGAGGAGGCCAAGATAAGGGAGAAGAAGAGCAAAAAGGAAAAGGGAGAGAAGAAGGAGAAGAAGGACAAGACAAAGAAGCGCGAGGAGCGCTCGAAATACACGGATAGGGAGGAGTGCCTACTCAAGACAAAGCTGCCGTCCAAGCAGCTCCCGGCGGCTGTCGACCCCGAGGACGAGGGAGACCGCAAGAAGCGCAGGAAGAAGGCCAAGGAGGTTGTTATCCACGAGTTCGAAAAGACGACAAAGTTCCCTACCTTCCTCAAGGCCGCTAAACCAGCGCCCACTGAGAACCTCACAACCGAATTCGTTGAAGGAAAAGGATGGGTTGATACGCAAGGGAACCTGATCGAATCATCCAAGACTAGGAGAACGGCCACGGCACCTGTTCCTGAATCCAAGGCTCCCAAGCCTCCGAAGAAGGCCAAGGCTCCCACGCCGCCGCCTGTGGACGACGATACTACGAGCAGTAGCGGCACCTCATCTGACGAGGATACTTCTTCAGACGAGAGCTCAGATGAGGAGCCAGAGCCGGCCAAGGTCACGGAAACGATTAAGCCTACGCAAAGTGTCAAGGTGGCACCGGTGACACCTGCAAAGCAAACGCCAAAGGCTGCGGATGATGACACTAGCAGCGAATCATCATCATCGTCCGATGACGATAGTTCCGACTCGGACGAGGAGGTAGTAGTCGAAACTACAAAGACTTCGGTCCCTGCCAACTTCGACAGTCCGCTGTCCGCAATCAAAGCCGCCGATTCATCGCGGCCCAGATCCGCCGCTTCCAACGCCAGTCTTACTATCAAGATACCGCCATCGACTCCAGCCCAAGTTCACCCCTTGGAGGCTCTCTACAAGCGCCCAAAGCAGGACGGCAATGAGGACACCGAGCCTGCCAAAGAAGCCGAACCTTTCAGCTTTTTCGGCGGCGGCGGTGACGATATTGAAGAAGACGAGGATGTCGCAGCATCCAGCCAAATGCCCATGACCCCGTTCACCGCACAAGATGTCGAGTGGCGCAACGTTAGAAGTGCTGCACCCACACCCGACACAGCACACCCGAACCACACGAAGCCATTCTGGGCTATCGGCAATGAGGGCGAAGAGGAAGAGGAGGATGACGAGGAGACCCGCGAGGAGATAGAGGCGACGTTGAACGCGGAGCGAAACGCCGACCCTGAGGGCAGCAGCGGGCCCGGAGGCGATTTCCAAAAGTGGTTCTGGGAGAACCGGAGAGACCTCAACCAATCATGGATGAAGCGCAGGAAATCGGCGGCCAAGGAGAGGCGACACCGCGACAACAAGTCGCGCGCCTCCAAGGCTGTGTAGAGTATAAAGAGGGACGAATGCATAGCAAAGCATCAATAGAATCGCAATATCTTGAATTTTACCTATCCTGGCCACTATCAACATGCGACTGAGATCTAAACATGGATAGGATAATTCAGACAAACAGGACTCTGACTATCCCATTCACCTATTGACATCTCGGCCTCCCGCTGCCAACAGAGCACGGAATCTGATCATAATCTGTTATCATCTGGCTCGTTTCCCCCTCCCCTTGCTCGCAGTTGGGGTAAGATAGGTAAGATAAGACAACCCCGGCTTCCCCCGCCCCCCGTTGGGAGAGATTCAGGGATTCAGGGAATAGCAGGGAAGGCATATCAAAAACTCCGTCTGAATACATGTAAGCATCTTGGCCCTCGAAAAAGATCCGTAAGTTGACCAAGCCGTTTGGATCTCTTGGCCTCTTGGTTAACCCTCTTTCCAGCGAGGCCAGGGGCGCATTATAACGACCAAAGTTCAAGATCCGGCCTTTCGGACAATTCGCCGGCAAGGGGGAACACCAACATCGGGCTTGGCCCCGCCCTGCTCCTCTCCCGCCTTATCATCCCGCATCTCAAGTTCTTGACCACCACCCCCGCCTCCTATCAACATCCTTTCCGGGTCGTCAGCTCGTCGGCAAAGATGCGATGCGGCTTCGCGGCGTGCTCGATGGAACATCATATCCACATCCCTGCTGTATCTCGCTCTCTCCCCTTCAGCATCGAGTATCATTACCCAACGCAACGGTAATCTTTTCGCCTCCAACCTCTTCGTTGTTAGAGATATCTCTCCCTTCATTGGTGTCTTATCTGTCGTTAGTCAACCGTCCAGTCTATTACAACTAGACGTTAAAGATGCAATTGGGCAAATACACACTGCTTCCCGAGACCCGCGCTGCCCACCATCCGATGCAGAATCACAGGGCCATCATGCATCAAATCGCCTTGTCACTTTCCGTGTTGGTTGCCGTACTGCGGTAGTTCACACCAGGATTAGCCACGCGGTCGGCTATTTTGCGCTCAATGGAAGCGATCGACCCTCTAGATCTCTCCTCTCCCTACCTCGCTCTACCCTCTCCGCGGGAATCCTTATCTCGACTCTTCGACTGGAGAGACTCGGGGAGGGGGGTTACGTTGCACTTCGGCAGTCGATATTGACAGCCGATATCCGTATCTGCTGCACACACGCAATAGTACCGTCGCATTGATGCTCATATAACATCCGTTCCTCCAGGTAGGTCGACAAGCTATGGCCAGTTCCTAGGTTGTAGCAGGCAAGCCGATGTGAAATAACCCTTGATCGCCTCGTTGAGATCCCGTCGTGAACTCTAACCTTTCCTTCCTGCCCCTCCAACCTCGAGGTTCCCGCCCCGGTGAACCATCGCGAACATGGCCTCTCCACAAGACATTGAGGCTCCCGC